ATTGCAAATTTTTTGGCTTTTGAAATTCAATTTCTCTCTTTCTTACTAATCACCCAAAATCTCTATTTTTTATGATATAGTGTAGACGAAATTCAAAATATTGCTCTAGAATCAAGTTCTGGGTAAGATTTGAATCTTGTTTTCTTTATTTCTAAAATCTTTATTATATGTGACATGTATATGATACATCAATACCCAAAATAATATTCGATACAATACTAATACAATTATAATACGATTATACTAAAGTTTTAGTGTAGAGTTGTGATTGAAACTTGACGAAGATGAAGATCATAATTCGATCATAATTTTTCAGAAATGTATCATGATTGTATTATAATTGTATATGTATCATATTTGTTGCGAAAATTGTATTACAAATGTATGTTAGTTGTATATTCATTGTATATTGTTACGAGCAGTTGTGCGTTCGTGAAGAATTTCACAGTTTGTATCACAAGTATGATAATTGTATATTAATATATTAGTATTGTATCATGTACTATTTTGGGTATTAATATACCAGATGCAAGTTAGATAAATTTATGATACAAGTATGATACATTTATGTTTTAGGCATTGATGTATCTAATACAATTAAAATATAATTATGATAAAGTTATCATACAATTTTCATAAAGTGTCAAAATCTTTTTTTTAATAATATAAAGCTGTCGATGATGGTGGAAAGAGAGAAGATAGAGATTCTGGGATTAGATTAATTGATTTTGATGTTAAATAAAAAAGAGAAGAGAAGAGGAGAGGGGGGAAAAGGAAAGGATATAATTGAATCTCTTAATTGAAGGCACTGATAATGAGAAGGAACCTTTTAAGAAGCAATGTATACAATTTGTAAGAAAAACCTAGATACTTATTAAAAACATCAAAACAGAGAACATAGATAAATAAGTTTTTAATATAGTATAACTAGGTAAAAATTCATTTTTTTTCATTTGATGTTTGTTATTTGTATTGGGGATCGCTGATTAATTCGGAGCGTAAGACTCATTAAAAATGAAACTGTTTCATACTCGAATTTTTTCAATGTACGAACTTGAAATTTTTGTACATAAAGCGCCCCTTTAAGTTGTTCCCAACGATCATTTTAAGACCTTAACTTGCCATATGACCAGTCAGACACTTCTATTTAACACAGGTGTGTCTTGTGAACACTCGAGTTCAACAAGCCTCATGTGTGAGTTACACTCGCGGATGACATGTCAATCTGATAAATTATTGAATGACACGTGTATTTCTTAAATAGATTATAGTCTATATTAAGAAATAGTTGTTATTTTTAATTAAAAAATAAGAAAAAGACCCTACTTTTCCAAATCAGACCTTAAACCACATCAAGGAATGCCAAAAGGAGCAGAATAAACAAAACCAGACGAAGGTTTTAGAGGGTTCTTTTTAGTTTTTCAGATTTGGGGTCGATAAGGGAAACTGAAGGAAGTGTTAGTGGTTATGTGGTGGTGTAATAGTGGAGATTTATTGTGTTATGGATTTGTTTAATAGCGGATGGTGATTGTGGTGGTAATGGAATTTTTGTGTTTTTTCCTGTCATGGAGGGTGAAGATGGGTGAAGATGGAGAAGATAATTGGGGACAATATGAAAGAGGGGAGATTGCAGAAAATTTTCCGTTAAGTACTCACTTTTCCGGCCAAAAAAATTCCGGTGATGTTGCTTCCTTCTCTAATTTTTTATGCCCCTGTTTATAATGACTCCTGTGGGTTTGAATTTGAAGAAGTTCAAAGGCATGGTGGGTCTTCAACGGTGAAACAACGGCAATGCGATATCGCCACCGGTAGTCGGTGTAGAAAAGCTTTACAAATTTCGCTTGCTTTTCTTTAATCTTTACTATTATTGTTCTGAATGAGTTGTCTTTTCTTCTCTAACCCTTTTTCTCATTTTTCAATTGCTATCAGCTGGGTTTTTGTTTCAACTTGTTTTATTTGTTCGTCTTTTTTCTGAATCTATTTTCTAGATGGAGAAGATAATTGGGGCAACGCAGAAGATGGAGAAAATTGGAGGAGGTGGGGGGTCCACATTGATTTTAGGAAAAAAGAAAAAAGATAAACCTAATTTTCAAGATCTTCACACGCTTGGAAGTAAGTGTAACACACAAAATTTTCCATGTTAGCGGAAGGGGTTTAAGAGAATATATTTCTACCAAGCAGAGGTGTCTGTCTGGTCATAAGGCAAGTTAAGGTGTTCAAATGATCATTGGGGACAACTTAAAAGGACGCTTTATGTATTTCGCCAAGATAAAGAGATCATATCCTTTCACTACTCTCGGTGGTCCACTATGTCTTTTGCAATGTTGAAATCGCACATCAACGAACAATGGTCCAGAAGTCAAATTTGAAGTAAAGTAGTTAAAATAGCACGGGCTAGTCAATTTTCGGACTGGTCACAAAAATAGCTAGCATTTGCAAAGTCAATGAAAAATAATTACTATTTTGCTGCAATAGGGACCGGTCCAACATAATATATTGTAGATCAGTGCACCTGTGTATGAACTTCCAGCATATTATGGTGTAACTCCAACACGTGGAAAGTTTCAGCATAATATACTGGAGATTGAAGCACCCGTGTATGAACTTCCAGCATATTATACTGGATCGGTATATTATACTGGAACTCCAGTATATTATGCTGGAGTTCCTATATACTTATGCTTGAACTCCATTATAATATGCTGGAGTTCCAGTATACTTATGCTGGAACTCCAGTATATTATGCTAGAGTATTTTCCGGATTTTGAATAGTGTTTCGTTCAGATTTATCTTTACATGAAAATTGACTAAATTTCGATTACTTTGAAATTGCGGCTATTTTTGAATGACCACATGTAAATTTGGCTATTTTTGAATTTCTCCCAGTAAAGTATAGTTAAAGTGTAAAAGTGAACCCAATCTATCCCCAAGGATAATATTGTCCTTATAATATTTAGGTTAAAATCGTCGAAAAGCCATCTTGGTGATCCTCAAAATTAAAACCTTTAACACTTCTTTTTCTTTCATGAAAAAATGTTGAAAGTCAAACCAAATTAGCTTTTGTAGGGTAAAAATTCATTATTTTGTGCGTAGGGAGTAATCGATAAATTATTTTATACTTGCAAGAATGTGTAAAGGAAAAAGGAAAAATAGAGGGGGAAAACAACCTTATTATATTATTCTAACAAAATATACAAATTTAAAACCAGTATCCATTTAATTACTAACCATTAACAGCCATAAATGCTTTTGCTTTTTTGTATGCTATCTCCAAGTTTATTCTAAAGCGATTTAAATCCAACTTTATATTCTGTTCTCTAAGATAAATATCCATAATTTCCTTAGACCAACCCTTTTCTTGAAGAGCCTTTGGATTTTTTAGCACCAAACTATCTTTTTTTGCAAATTTGGCCACTAAACTGCTTTCTTTAATTCCAATTTTGTATTTCTCATAAACCAACTTCATATCTCTGGCTATTTTCCCAAAACAAAGATCTGAAACTCCTTCTGCACCAATTGGAATAATTTGAATAAATATTGAACCAGGACGTAGAAATAATGCATGTGTTAGTGCTGCTCCATGCACTCCAATCATTGCATGGCTTGAGTGTATCAATCCAAAAGATTCATGCAATGATGTGTTTTTTCTCGGCTCGAACAAAATCACCTCGAAACCAATCTGTTCTGCAATCAATTTTACTTCGTCCTGGTTCAGGATCAAACGTCCAACGCTTCCGTTGCGACTTGTTAGCACGAGCCGAGGCCGAGGCACAGGCAGAGGTTGAGACAGAGTTCGTACAGGCTTAGGGACGGTACCATATGAGGTAGCTAGAAATTTATGAAAATCTATTAGGGTTTTTGAGGTTGGTGTTAATTTTGGGTCTATGGTCATAAAACCATGAGACACTAGGCCAAAGGTAGCTTTAGGAAAACAATGTGTGACATTAATCTCCTTGTCAAGATTAATGATTGGGTGTTTGCTAAAGCTTTGTAGTAAATCCTTGTACTTTTGGACCCACCAATCTTCTAATTTTGAGATTACAAAGATGAAATCTTGATTAGGAAACAAAGAATTAACGGTGATGAAGAGTGGGAGGAATCCATCATTTATGTCATGGAAAAAATTTCCAGTGTACCCTCCCACACTGAATACAAGTGCTTGGGCTTTATGTTGGATCAAACATGTTGGGCTTATTGGGCCTGTAGTTAGAGTAATTTCCTTGATTCGGCCCATTGTGAAATTCTCCCATTTTCTTGGGTAGGGCCTAATCTTTTCAGGTATGAACTTTGTCTCATTCTTATTGGTTGGATCCAGGTCATAGAAAGTTGACTCAAATGGGTCAAAAACTGTTGGTCCGTTGATTGAGCAAATATCATAGAAATAATGAGACCTGTCGCAGCTAATTATTGACTTGGATTTTTGTACTGAAGAACCTTTGAAATTAAAAGCCAAAACCAAAGAATGATTGTCAAAAACTTTACATGTTACAATAGAATAGTAACAACAATCCAGTATAATTCTACAAGTGGGGTCTGAGAAGAGTAGTGTGTACGCAGACCTTACCCCTATCCTGGGGTAGAGCAGGGGCGGCCGCCGGCCAGACCCTGAAGCACTTGATTTAGGCCCCAAAAAGTTAAGGGCCCCAAAATTATCATTTCTCTACGTATAGCAGTATATTATTTATATAATTATTTCTTATTATTGATAAATTTATTTTTTTTATTGTCATATTAATGTTTGATAAGTCAATTTCTTCCTCTAATTAATATAACCAATCAATCTTATTTTACGTTTTTACTAAATTATATTTCTCTATTCATTAGTTAGTCACGTAACTATATCTAATAATCTAACTTATTATTTATTTTCCTTACATAAATTATAGTCTCTCCGTCCCAACTTATATGAAAGTGTTTGACTGGACATGGAGTTTATGAAATAAAGGAAGACTTCTGAAACATGTAATCTAAAATAGATCATAGAAATTTGTAGGCTAGAAATCATCTTGTTAAAGGTAAAAAGGAAACTCTAAAGTTGAATTGTTACCGAATATAGAAAGGGACTGACTTAAAAAAAGGAGTCGCATAAGTTGGGACAGAGGAAGTATGTCTTCTGGGTTTTCTCATTTCAGTTATGATGCAATCAATATTAGATTCATTTAATTTTTTGTACTTTATAAACTAAGTTCTCATTTTTTTCATTTCACATCCTCATTTGTCTATTTTTTTTAAAAACAATGCGCTCTCTCTCTCTCTCTCTCTCTCTCTCTCTATATATATATATATATATATATATATATATA